TTCCTCTGATAAAAATTGTCGTTGGGAATAAAAGTCTAATAATTACAAACATACATACAAACTCGTTTATTTATTTCATTTTTTGTATTCGTTATTGCATTTTAAATTTTTAATTATGTTGCTAAAAGTATATGCAACTTAAAATTAACTTAAACTAATATTAATATTATAGACACAATTAACTAAAAACTCAAATATTTACACCTTAAACAAAATATAATAAAAACGTTACCTTAGAGCATCAAAAAAATGTTTTTTTCCTTATCGCTATCGTGAGGTAGGTTGCCCAAAAGACTAGCTGCATTGCCACGTGGAATGGCAATGCTTAACCTTTGCCCAAGGTAGTAGCCAGCCCTTCGATCACCTGAAGTGTCAACCATCCTCCTTACAATATCTTTGTAAAGAAGATGTGCACTTGGTCCCCACGGCCCTAAAGTTTTAACCCCAAACGGTTCGAAAGCATAAATAGCCAATCAGGCTATTATACTTTCGCCCTTTGAGGTTCTCATTCTTACCTGATGGTGAGCAACCTCACTCACACGACGAAACACAATTAAAATAGTGTGACTGTTATAGTCTTAAAACCAAGGCGTTATATATTTCAAATAATTGTAGAAAGAATTTACAAAAGTCCTCACGCCTGTCTATACTTTTAAGACATTAAACGCCATGGGGGTCACTAGTATCACTGCGAGGACCGCCCTAAGAACACGTTTGAATACACTGTAGGGGAATGCTCTGTGTGAGCTGAGCACCGTCGTGCCCTCAGGGACATGATTGACGACGGCGACCTCTCGCGTCCGGCCCTAGTGCGCATCATGATACAGAGCGAGGAGGACTGGGATGCCGTCTTCACCTTTTGCGAAGCAGTCATGCTAGCTTAGGAAGAGTAGGAAGCGCTGCCTCCTCACAACCCAGCCGTCACGAAGGACATTCCGGGCGTCGGGGATCGCGGGATGATCTCCAGCAATCGTAAACGTGGGCCTGTAGACGGCGGCTCGAAGTATAGGAGTAGAAACGGGGTGGTTTTTAGTCAGTAAGAGTCTGACGCTCTCTCCCACCTCACCCAGGCGGGAGCAGTCAATCGAAGATTTTCCCCCCTTAAAAAAATAGGAGTCCCTCGTGACAAACGTCAGCGGAATATTTGCCATTAACAGATTTCTAGGTAATTTCAAAGACTTAAAGAATAAAAACGTAACACGTAATACAAAATCAAAACACATATATATAACAATACTGTAACATAAAACTAATTAGTTAATAAACAACAGTTACTCTATCGGTGCCCGTAACTTCGCGTGACTCGTCGACGTCCGAATCCGAAGTAAATCACTGGCTGCTAATGTGACTGAAGCATGCCAACTGTCGAAATAACTGTTTTGTCTTCATTATTAGGACGAATCAGTCATTATTACTTAACTTGCATTTGTATAATTATGATTAAAAGGCCCTTTTTGCAGGTTTTTTTAAGGGGGCGAAATTATCGAATGACTGCTCCCGTCTGGGTGAGGCGGGAGGGAGTGTCAGACTCTTACTGACTAAAAACAACCCCGTTCCTACTCCTGCCCTTCGAGCCGGAGCCCCGGTAACCCGTTAAGTACTCCGCGGCTCCGTATCGGCATCATCCTATTGGCCTATTGGGCAGCATTAGTAGGAACGGGGTGGTTTTTAGTCAGTAAGAGTCTGACACTCCCTACCGCCTCACCCAGGCGGGAGCAGTCATTCGATGATTTTCCCCCCATAAAAAAAAGTGTCGTAATATGCACCTCTACCTAATCCTTCGGGGATAAAGGGTGTGATGTTATGTTATATTGTTAATCATAATAATACTACTGTGTACATTTGTGTAGTGACATCCAATTCATTGACTGAATAGAATAATGTACGATGGCACCGCGACCGCCTCAAATAAATATAAAGACTTCCGCCCACTGCGGCGTAACACGTGCTCGTATTTATATCCCTGTTATGTTTTTATAATTAACATATTTATGATTTGTTATTGTTTACAGTATCTGCTAGTATTGTATTAAACTAGTTTCTGCTTAGGACTTTGTATGTGCTTGAAAACATATTTTTTTCGTTAAGTAGTAATTTTGCACTAAAATTCCTGTTTTAATGCTTAGGAAAATTTATATGACAAATATTATTTGGCACAACAGTCAGTTAGGCATTTTTATTGATGATTTCAGTGAACTATATCATTATAATCTAAACCAAATTTCTTAATCTACAACAGATACAACAGTGTTTTTGATTAAAAATCTAATTGATTTATCGTACTTTGTGTGTTGTGACGTCATGTTCTTCCCATCAAACAGCAAACTTATTTCTTAAAACTTAGCTAGCAATCACCGATAATTAAATATAAGTATAGTAAAGTCAATTTTTTTTTAACATACGTGTGATGTATGAAATGAAATTGAATTTCCATTTATCATAACAATCTGAACAGAATTTACGTGGAAAATAAATAAGATTGTAAACACCTACGATACAGGAGAAAATCGTTACGTTAGGCAACGTTATTTAAAAGAAAATCGTCTTCAGAAAGTACCATTTTTAATTTATTTATGTAATAACCTTATACGTTATTGATTTCACACCAATTTTAAACTGCACCAAATATAGTGGTACTCCATAGCAAACTTTACGAAACAAACAAACCTATTTATCGGGAAGTGTTACAAAAGTGCTCGTATAACGCGCACAGTTACATTGGTCCGTGTTAATTGTTGTTTTCATTGTGTTACGTCATCACTAATTTATAACGTTGCAAGATTTTATTGTGGCCATAACAACATGGTCTTTATTTTATTTCCTGATGTACAAGCAAAGGTGTACTTTACTGCTATGTTATACTATGAACCCCAGTTTTAGGTGATGAGGTGTTAGTAAAAAATTACAGTTAATGAGCCTATTGCCATCAATTAGCCACTGTTCCAGACTCTGGTCCATTACAGAGGGTTTTCTAACATCCGAAATAAACCTAGTAATGATTTGGAAATTTAATTCTAGACCAGCACTTGACTAAGAGTTATTATTCGTGATATATCTGATAATATACTAGTGGATTCAAGTCTTTAATTTCCTTAGGACATTTATTTTTAAAATCGGTTTACTAAATGCATGAAAAGTGAAAACTAGAAATATCTAACTACTACCTATTTCGTAATGTTCTACACCTGGAGTCGAACCTGGACTAGAAATTATTGAGGTGGGCGAGAACTGGAGCGTAACAAGCATCGTAAAGTTCAGGCCTAAGTTTAGCTTCGTCGACTAAAACTAGAATTTATCGACTACGTAGGCCTTAGCCACAAATCTGGGAAACATATCAATCGAAGGTGCAGATTTATTAGGATTTTATTATGGGTGTGTGGTTGCAAAGTTACTTATAAGTTATTTGAATAACTGCTTTGTAACTTGAACGATCTTAAATAATTGTTTAGTAATATCTTTCAAAATAAAATTGTACATTAGATCCAAAATTTCCTATAAAGCTCACTTTTCTAAATTATATTTACCACTATGTCCCTATAACAATAACCATTATAACATGACGCATAAATCTAAAATAATAAAAGTCATAAAATGAAAGAAGTCTCTTCCACTATAATCAAAATGTATCTATCAACAGTCAGCTTAAACAAAAAGCGAGCGATAAATAAAGATTAATTGCCCAACACCCACTAGACAGACTCATAAACTAAATATCGTCAATAAAAATTACATCATAGTTACTCCATTCATAACACTAATTCACGGTCAAGAGCACAATAAGTACAAATGGAGCTACACAAAACTAGAATAAACTGACCTATGAATATACGGAAAGATTATGCAAAGAGAGATCTTGATAAACTGGGTTCGTATAGCTTTAGCTGTGTGCACTAGTAAAAAATGGCTCAATCAAGTGCGAACTGAACGAACATTAAAACAAAGTGGGGTCGGCGACCTAATTGTTACGCAGCAGTGGGTGGGTACCTTAATGTTTAATGTTCTTTATGAGGACAAATTAAATCAGAGCAGGATATTTGGTAGACTGGGAGTTTTATGTTTTATGTGAACAATTTTAAAGATATATTTTTACTGCACAGATAGACTTAAAAAATCGTTGTCATGTTTGGTAAAATAATTTTTAATCAGAAATTATACACAGTGTACCTGATACATCTTGAACTTTGATCGCAACCTACATTTAGAAGTACATTGACTTTCAGAAATGAGAGCATTTTTATACAAATTAATAAATTAATGTGATACACATTTCATCTGAATGCCTCGTTGGCCAAATGGTCGCAAGTGCGACTGCCGGGCAAGGGGTCTCGGATTCGATTCCCGCGTCGGGCAAAGTATTACTGGGTTTTTATTAAATTCCCAGTAGTAGCACGAAGTCTGGAATTGTGCCCGATATATGGCTATAGGCACACCCCCTATATATAGTCCCATATAGGGACTCATAACATAAATAGTGTAAAGTGGGTGTTACATTGTGCAGTGGCATAATGTGCACCTCTGTCCACCCCTTCGGGGATAAAAGGCGGGATGTTATGTTATGTTATTTTATTTCATTTCCTGAAACTGTGCAACGAAGTTCTTTATCGTAATTGGAAACAAGTTTAGCATAGAGTTTCGTATATATATATAAGAATAACCCAGACCAAGAAAGCCAAATATAAGAATACCCTATAGTAGAATCCTATCCATCTATAAGGATCACCACTGATGGGACCCAACAGGGCTGATGCCGATTCGGAGTCGCGGAGAACCTAACGGGTTACCGGGGCTCCGGCTCCACGGGCAGAAGAAGGAACGGGGTGGTTTTTAGTCAGTAAGAGTTTGACACTCCCTCCCGCCTCACCTAGGCGGGAGAAGTCATTCGATGATTTTCCCCCCTTAACAAAAAAAAAAACCATCTCTATAGATAAAGGTTTTTGGATATTCTACTCATTTTTTTTTCATTTATAACAGAGTTCTAACAACCTCTCTCCTTGTTCCAGCTACTACGTGGTCCAGATGCCAGAAAATGACGTACCAACCAAGGAGTTCAACATATACTGGAACGCACCCACAATGCAGTGCAAATCCAAAGGCATTCTTTTCGACGACCTGTACGAAAAGTACGGAATTATTCAGAACACAGGCGATACATTCAGAGGGGACAGAATCTCCATACTTTATGATCCTGGAGACTTCCCTGCGTTACTAAGAAATAGTACTAGTGGCGAAATTAAATATAGAAACGGTGGAGTACCTCAGGAAGGGGACTTGATAGAACATCTGGATACGTATCAACAAGTTCTGGAGCAAAGTGTGCCTGATAAGGATTTTAACGGTGAGTGTTTGTATCTTAAAACATTTATTTATTTATTTATTCCACTTACATTTATCTTTACAGGTTAATGCCCAATGCGATAAATGTGCTCATCTTAATATCTACCTATAGCATATTATATATAATGCACGTAACAGCGAATCAACCTAATCTGTTCTCTAACTCTTTTATGCGATTTTTAACTTTATCGTTTTAACATATGGTTGAAAACCAAAATTGACAGATTGGAGAAGGTTGACCTACTGACGTCGAAACACACATTTTACACACTTATTCTTATTTAGCGTAGGATAGTAGATACATTACCTACTAATAAAGGTCACAAGCAACCGCTGGATGCTAGTTAGATCCAACTGGTCGACTTAGAAGTCACTGGGACAGTTTGTGTCCAGAATATGAATGAATTGTAGCCGATTTGTTTTACGTAAACAATATTCGGACAAATATCACATAATCGAAAGATTTAGACGTACACAATAAAAATTTTGATAAAAATGTACATAAAGTAAATAAAAATAGGGTGGGTTAAGCCCGAAGTTCCGTCGAGAATTGTATAAAACGAAAACAATAGCTATAGTCCATACTTGAGTTCTACAGCAAAAAGGCTAGATGGTATCTTGTATATACGTAGGTACCTACAAAGCCTAACTTATTCCATTGGGGTCTAACTTAAATTAACAGAACCTATGTCCCTTTGTTTAACGACCCTGCTATAAGGGCGACCCCGACCTACTTTGAACTGGAACCGTAAATTTTGCTAATTACACACACACATACACACATGCGGGTATAATTTGGACTAATCTAGGAATTAATTGCTACGTTTTATGGGTCTATGCTTATTATTACATCATAAAAATATGATTGTTTTACACTAAATCATTTTCTTCTTGTCTAATAAAAAAATCAGTTACCTTTGGCATAAATGGGTAGTGCGATGGTTGGGCAACTGGCTACCGCGCAATGTGCCGCGGATTCGATTTCAACACGGAACAACTCTTTGTGTGATCCACAGATTGTTGTTCCGGGTCTAGGTGTCATGTGTATGTGAATTTGTGTGTTTGTAAACGCACACACAAAACAGGAGAAATCCCTAAAGTTGTGTTTATAAAAAAAATAACAACCACGGTAATTGGACAAACAGTTCACACTCCACATTAGCGACATCTAGTATATATTAATAAAAACGAAAATCCCTTATTGCTAAAACACACCCATTTTTGGTTTCAGACTGATCTAAAGACTTTTTCTTATAGTTTTTTGGATTTCAAAAGCTTTAACTAATTAACTGACTACTTTCTCAGGTGTTGGAATTATAGACTTTGAGTCATGGCGGCCGGTGTTCCGGCAAAACTTCGGGGACCTGACTCCGTACAAGGACATGTCCTATGAGATAGAGAAACAGAGACATTGGTGGTGGAAGAAGGAGTGGATACAGGAAGAGGTAATTCTTTAAAATAATTGGTATTCAAGTAAAAATTTCGGGATTACAAACAATTTTTATGGGATGACGAGCAGACGGATCACCTGATGGTAAGCAATCGGCGCCCTCCGTGGACACTCGAAACACCAGAGGCGTTACAAGTGCGTTACTGGCCTTTTGGGAATTGGGAATTTGAGGATTGTGGGGGATTCGGGCATTGAAAAGACTGGGGAGGGGGAGGGCCTTTGGTAAATTCACTCATGCAACGAAACACAACACGAGCTTTGTTTCACGTTAGTTTTCTGTGAGACCGTGGTATCACTCCGATCGAACCGGCCCATTCGTGATAAAATATGTGCCCCGTGCGTCATTGCTGAAAGAATGCAATGGATTGTTTAACTTATTTAAAATCTCTCTAATCTAATTCTTAACCTAGGGTGATCTCGAATGTAGAGGTAATATAGAATGGCAAAAAGCTCTGCTTTGAACCAATCAGTAACCGACTAATTGGCTATACCATTTATTGAACACTTCTGATACTTTCTTAGAAGCACATATAATACATAATTGTACCAACAATGGTACTGAACTACTGACACATCGTTCCCATTCAACACAATCATCGCAGGCCAGTGATTACATCGCATTATCTGACGACTAATTAGGGCGCGCTAACTAAAGGGCCTCGATACAGCTTCACACAGATTTCTACCTTAGTTCGTGGCTTTAAAGTTGATAATGTATTGATGCTTTAGGGTAGCTTGATCTGCTTGTGTTTGTGATCACTAATAGTCGGGAGATTTAGTGTAATTGATTTATGAATATCTTCTATTTTGATAAGCTAAAGTGGTTTGTATGTGTGATTGCGTAAGGTTCTAAATTGTAGTTTATTAGTTCTTACGATCTATCTGAACTTAGCTGAATATGTGTATATGGAATTTTAATTTCCTCATACATTAATAGATGTCAAAGTTATTTCTCAATCAGAAATTTTAACACATTAAACGCCATGGGGTTAACCGGTGACCAACGTTAGCAAAGTATTTGCCTTCAACAGTTTTGTATTGTCAGTCCAAATCCTTAAAAATACTTTTCGTATTCTATTGATTACTTTGCGGCTTGAAAATGCATATAACACCATTATCAATGTGAATGCATTACAATAATAAGCCAATTTTCCTATATACAATACATACATAAATACAATTACAATCGACACGCCCTGACTACTGGCTGCCTCGTTGGCCGAGTGGTCGCAAGTGTGACTGCCGGGCAAGGGTTCTTGGGTTCGATTCCCAGGTCAAGCAAATTGCTACTAAGTTATAAAAAAATTCACAATAGTAGCACGGAGTTGCAGTTGTGGCCGGTATATGGCAATAGGCTCACTGCCTATTAAATGGGACTCATAACATAAATAGTGAAAAGTGGGTGTTACTTTGTTAACTACTTGGCATAAAGTGCCGTAATGTGCACTTCTACTCTCTTCTGTCCCTACCCCTTTGGGGATAAAAGGCGTGATGTTATGTTGAGTAACAAACTAACGAAAAGATTTGCCAATTAGAGATGAAATTGGAACACGTTTTGTATAGATTATGTTAAAAAGTAAATCCGCAAATGCATAGCATATTACGCAGGTTATTGAAATCAGCCGTAAATCACATGTCAAACTCCTGATCCTCTAAATCTTCTTAGACATTACATTGATCAGAAACAGAACTCATTCGCACCTAACTATTACATATACACACACAAACAAACATTCAGAGATTGTAATTTATCAATCAAACGTCTCGTGTCGGCATGCACTCGTCAAACTAATGCTTCAGTTATTTAGATCAGTTAGTGCTGTACTACATAGTTATCAATCTATCAATCTAACGGCTGATTTATCAATCAAATGTTAGAATGACGTTGTTAAAGTAATGCGGTATTTAGGACGGTGGTGAGTGTTGAAGATGGTTGCTAATTTTACTATGTAGATAGTGTTATGTCCTTTCTATGTTACATTATTTATCAATGTAGAAACATATGTTCCGTGTTTTAGCAATTCATAGAAATGGCACTTGGTTTGGGATGAGAAATGGTATTATCTCTATAAACACTTCGTCTTTCCATATGTGTTCGGAATAAATAAAAAAAGATACTTTTGGATTATTCAAATCGCTTAGATTTAAAACCAACTAAACTTTACTAAATCAAAGGAATGCTTTACAAAAAGAGGTATTAAAGCTTTGAATGCTAATATAAATTGTTAAAAGCAATAGGGTAGATGCCTAATTTTTATTATAATGTCCGTCTGGTAGATTATTTTAAATCATTAGACACGTATTTTTTATTTTCTTACAGAAACGAATACTTTCGACGATAAATAGATTTGAAATATCACGTGACGTCACTTCTATGCACATTTTATACGTAGAAATGACGTTTTAACTCCCACTAATAACTTTAATTCGTTTTATCTAATTATTGTTTTATTATACGACAAAATAAACAAATACGTGTCTAATATTTGTTCATTACCTAACTTACGGATTAATTATATTTTAAATTTTCATACCCTGTCATCATCCCTATTCAAAGTCAAAGTCAAAGTCAAAAGTCAAAGTCAAAATCATTTATTTCAATTAGACCAGAAAGGCACTTTTGAACGTCAACAATAAAATTAGAAGTGAAGCTATTTGCTCATTCCAAAGTGTAGATTCCTATGGAGAAGAACGAGCAAGAAACTCCATAGGTTACTCTTTTTCAATCAGGTTCACAATACAATTGTCCAGTTACATAGTTTGCCGTTTGGATTGTGCGAGAACAATGTAACACTAAAATCTAGTCAAAGTGATTGAAAAAGAAAATAACCTTAAAGACAATAAATAATACAGTCTGGAGCTGACCAGTCCCAGTTGACGGCGCCCGTTCACGAACATGACACGTACACCAGCACCGCCCAAATCAACCATATTGTAGGGAATCGAGCGATCCACTGCACGCGCCACCGCCAATGAGACCTTTGAGTGAGCATGACAATTCCACGCTGACACAAATGCATTCTACTAGTCTAATTTAATATTAAGTTAATTACAGGGCTCTCACATTCACAATGATTATCTAAGTTAAACAATATACAATTTAGCAAAATGGCTGTATTATTTACAATTTCATTAAAACATCAGTGTTTTTTGTTATCCTGTGGAGCCGGACTAGCCTGTATCCAAGCATTTTTATCAACTATATAATCATTAAGTTTGTAATACGCTTGTTTACATAAAGTTTTCTTTATACATAATTTAAATTTTGATTCATTTAGGTGTTGTATGTCGCCTGGTATCTTATTATAACATTTAACACAGAATCCCATGAACGACTTACTTACTTTCGCCAATCTCGAAATTGGCTGACTTAATCTATTTCCATGTCTAGTTTGATAGTGGTGTCTGTCCGACACTTTACCAAATAACTGTAGGTTTTTCCTAACATACATGATGTTTTCATAAATAAATTGACATGGAACGGTCATAATGTTGATCTCCTTAAACCTTTCTCTGAGAGATTCGCGACGACCTAGATTGTAGATAGCTCTGACGGCGCGCTTTTGCAATACAAAGATAGACTCAATGTCAGCAGCGTGTCCCCACAGCAAAATGCCATACGACATAATGCTATGAAAGTAACTGAAATACACTAGTCTTGCCGTTTCTATGTCAGTTAACTGTCGTATCTTCCAGACAGCATACGCTGCAGAGCTCAATCGTCCCGCTAATGATGTAATATGAGGACCCCATTGCAATTTGTCGTCTACAGTAATTCCCAGGAAAGTTGTCTCTTTTACCAACTCTAATTTCTCACCATTCAATAATATTATGTCACATTCGTTGCTTTTAACATTTGGCAAAATTCCTCCGCCAACGTCTGTCATCGATGACCCCCATGGTGTTCAATGTGTTTAGGTTACTACATTCAAGTTAGACTCTGTACTTTCACGCTTATCTATCAACAAAAAACTTACGCAATATATCACCCAATTAATAATTGAATTTCTCAATCCCTTTACTAGGTCAATCGTTATGACAGTGATGTACCATGTTCCCAACACTATAACTCCCGTTGCACAACTCACGATCAGATCCCGAAGTATTTGTTGTCTAATAATAACGATTGTACAAACAGTTATAATGTATTACAGCTGTGTATATATTATATATATAGTATTAATATTTGGTTTCAGTGATGTGATGAATATGATGATAATAAGCAAGTTATATTAATATTATAAGTAGTGTCTTAACAAGACTATTATTTTCAATTCATAACTATTTTGAAATGAAAGAACATTGCTTCGCTACCATTATGATATAACATATTATATATAACATCACGCCTTTTATACCTAAAGGAGTAGGGAGAGGAGCACATTACAGCACTTCATGCCAATGTACAATGTAAAACACACTTTTCACTATTATGTAATAAGGGGGTGAACCTATTACCATACACCGGACACAATTCCAGACTCCGTGCGAGTACTGAGATTTTTTTCAATCTCCAGTAGTATAGTGCCCGACCCGTGTATCGAACCCGAGACCCGACCTGAGTCGCATTTGCGACTACTCAGCCAACGAGGCAATTATGAAATATCAAAAAATAAAAGAAGTTTTGGGGAGATTTGGCAACCACATCAAAATAAAAAAAATGTGTTGCAGTATAAACAAAAACAATAATTCAAATGTGCAAAACGACAACAATGGCGAAGGTCTCTGGCTTTTCAGTCACCAAGAGAAGTAGGTCATGTCTTAATGAGGAATCTATAATTTGTAACATAATAATTATATTATCCGCAGGTTTTCCTTGTCAAAACAAAGTTAAAATCATTTATTTCAATTAGACCAGAAAGGCACTTTTGAACGTCAACAAAAAACATTAAAAATGAAGCTATTTGCTCATTCCAAGGTGTAGATTCCTATGAAGAAGAACGAGCAAGTAACTCCATAGGTTCTCGAGGACTAAAGTGTAATAAAACTCTCACATCGTTTGCGTATTATATTGGTATTTAGTTCAGTCGTAGAAACCATAATAACTGCACATAAAAATCATAAAACCTTTAGCCCTTCAAATAAAAAAACTAGCTTAATCTCATAATAAAATGTTATACGACTCGCGAAATAAAAATTGCGAAATTAATTTTTAAATCTTAAATCCTTCTAATTATATCTCATGCGTAGATAACAATATACTAGTTAGTTTAGGAGCTAGATTAATTGTTTAAGTGGTCATATAACTATGATAACGAAATACTTTTTATAAGTTTATACTGAGTAAATATGTATAAGATTTCTTCAGTCCGTTAGAATGTATTTTTTTTATAATTAGCATGTTTGTAGTACTTCTATTTTTTTATAGGATAAGCCAGTGTATTCTAGCAGATGGATCACCTGATGGTAAGCAGTCGGCGTGTCGTTGTCGGCGTCGCCCATGGACACCCGAAACACCAGAAGCGTTACAAGTGCGTTACCGGCCTTTTAGGGAATTAGGAGTTTGAGGATTGTTGGGGATGCGGGGATTAGGGAGATCGGGGAAGAGATTCGGAATTGAGCCTCCGGTATCCTCACCCACACGACGAAACACAACGCAAGTTGCAACGTTGCTTAACGTCGCTTTTCTGCTCGTCGTTGGTATCACTCCGGTCGAGCCGCCTCATTCGTGCCGAAGCATGACTCTCCCACACTTAAACTCGATAGATGACATAATTATTATCTTGTTTCCGATCTTAGTTTCCGATAGGTAGATATTTCTTTACATTAAGATTAACTCGTTGAGTACTGTCATTATAGACACAATTAAAGAACAATAGGTTGCGGTCACCGGTGACCGCTTGGTGTTTGACAGTTTAAATTACACCATGATTAATTCTACAAATAACATTATTTGCATTCATACATTTTTTTATTAAACTTATTGGTTTAATTGCTATATATCTCCAACTGTTCAAATACAACTCGGGTTAGTTTAACAATGCTTAATTCTAGTGTGAACAATAGTATCATAATTTATTACACCATATTGTAAAACAATGAATATTTAATATCGAAATATCAATACATTCACACTGATTTTAAATATTTATATTACTTTTATGTAATTAAGAGTTGCTAAGCGCAAAACTTCCTACAGAACAGCTGAATAAAATCGGATCACTAGAATAAACCATGTAAGGTTAATACAAAGACGAAAATTGTACCTGAAATGTAAAAAATAAAAAATAGCACTTTTAAAAAAGGTTATTAATAATTATATTCTCACTTATATTTAAAGCCGAAGAGTTTGATTGTTCGATTCCCGGGTCGGGTAAAGTATTATTGGGTTCTCACTCACCCCCTATTACATGGGACTCATAAAAACATAAATAGTGAAAAGTGGGTGTTACATTGTACAGCGGCATTTAGTGCCGTAATGTGCACCTCTGCCTACCCCTTCGGGGACAAAAAGCATGATGATGTATAAAGTTTGTTTGTTTCTTTGTTTTTATGAACGTGCTAATCTCCGGAACAACTGAGCCGATTTATGCATATGGATAGTGACTTTATCAAGGAAAGCTATATAAGCTATAAGACATCAGGCTACTAGTACCAATGGGAAACGAGTAGTATGTTATCTAATAAATTCCATAAAATATGGCACTAATTAAAAATACCAAAAAATCTGTTTTGGATAAATATAAAGATAATAAGTAATACTAATAAGTGTGGTGGCTGGGCAACCGGCTGCTGTGCACACGTCGCGGGTTCGACTCCCGCACGGAACAACACTTTGTGTGATCCACAAATTATTGTTTCGGCCCTGGGTGTCATGTGTATGTGAACTTGTATGTTTGTAAACGCACCCACGACACAGGAGAAGACCATAGTGTGAGGCAACATTTAAAAAAAATGGTCATAAACCTATGAAGTAAACAAAACATTTATTATTCTATTCTAGACCAAGTATATAATAAAAATCTTTATTATACCATCAACCATCATATAAGTATACCTATGTCAATACACCATCTATACCAACATTTTGTAATCTCTAAGATTAAGTGTTGACTGGATAAGAAAATTGCGTATATATTCGTATATTACCTTTACACTTTGTTTGATCACACTATCTCTGATATTGGCACGTGTCATTAGATCAGTGAAATCTTTTTATGATTACTTTGTACTGACTTATGTACACAGAACTATTTACTATGCAGGTTAGAAAATAAAGAATTTTTTGTGGCATAAGCCGGTAAACGAGCAGACGCATCACCTGATGATAAGCAATCGGCGTCGCCCATGGACACCCGAAACACCAGGGGCGTTACAAGTGCGATGCCGACCCTTTTGCGAATTAGATATTTTAGGATTGTGGTGGATTCGGATATTGGGGGGACTGGGGAGCGGGGAGGGGATTCCTGTAACCTCACTCACACGAAGAAATACAACGAAAAGGGTTGCTTCACGTCGGTTTTCTGTGAGGCCGTGGTATCACGCCGGTCGAGCCGGCCCATTCATGCTGAAGCATGGCTCTCCCACACTTATTGATTGACAGATTGATTCAGTACAGAGACCGTAACCTTTGGTTGGCTACTGGACAGACCGACCGAGAAAATTTGAAGTAAATCCATACAGCACTTTTTAAGTATACTTACCCCGGACATATATGCACATATCGACAAACAGACAAAAATTATAAAAAAACATATTTTAGGCTTCGGTATCGATTGTAGATCACTCCCCAAGCATTCTCTTTTAAAAATATTCAATGTACACTTTTCACTTTCTTACGATTTTATTATATGTAAATATAGATAATTTTATTAATTCTTGCAAAATGATTATCCACTTGTGACTCTGTTATAAATGTCCATGAGCTATAATACCTTACCATCATTTGATTTGTCTGCTCATTCGGCTTCTATTCCGTAGAAACCCGGGATTTTCTCCTGTATCACATATAGGAGAAAATCCCAAGACTGCAGGAGAAAATTGATAAGTCTAACAAATTTCTACATAACTATTTCAGGCTAAGCGTCGTTTCGAGGCAGCTGGTCGAGAGTTCATGCAGGCAACGCTGGCGCTGTCGAAGAAGATGCGGCCCCGCGCTATATGGGGGTACTACGGGTTCCCGTATTGTTTCAATATGGCGTCCAACAATATGAAGGAGACCTGTGCTGATAAAGTGCCTCAGGAGAATGATAGGTTCGTTCAGATTTACTTCTTTTAATTCTATGGCTGTCGACAGAAAACTGTTGAAGACAAACAGACAAACATCACTTGCTCGTATTTCGATTTCATCTTCACTATGATGTATTACTAACTAGCTTTTACCCGCGGCTTCGCTCGCGTCACAAAAAGATAAAAAGTAGCCTGTGTTGGTATATACCAATACACACAGCGCCATCTATACAAATACTTTTGTTTTCCCTCGGGAATATTAAAATTATCCGATATAAAAAGTACCCTATTATTTAATCCGGACTTCGAACTTTACGTCTGCAAAAATTCAAAGCAATCGGTTTAGTAGTTACGGCGTGAAACCGGAACAAACAGACAAACCCACTTTCCGATTTATAATATTATTAGTAAAGATAGTATCTATCTGTGATGAATAACTTTATTCTTTATTCGAGTAATTTTCTTTGCAAACTTGTTATAAAACTGTATTTACGCAATTTAGCCGGGAATAAATAAAGATCCTTCAACAATTTACGTCATTCGAGGATCTTATTCGGTTATCAAAACCACACTCTTGCAATTAGAAAACGTACACCTGGATTTTACACATCCTGTTCCATTTTAATTTTGGTTCTCCTGTATGTTAAAGTGTGTCGATTCCTGGGTCCGGCAAAGTATTACTGGGTTTTTAAAAAAAATCTCAGTAGTAGCACGGAGTCTGGAATTGTGTCCGGTATATGGCAATAGGCTCACCCCCTATTACATGGGACTCATAATATAAATAGTGAAAAGTGGGTGTTACATTGTACAGTGGCATAATGTGCACCTCTGCCTACCCCTTTTGGGATAAAAGGCGTGATGTTATTTTATGTTAAAGTGTGTTAAATCAATAGTTTCCTATCAACAAACTTTTAATATGACATCAATAAACAATGCTTTTATCAAAAATTCCAGGATAAGTTGGCTCTGGCAGGAGAGCACAGCGCTGTACCCCTCAGTGTACAGTTCAGCGAGCCTGAGCACGCGACAGCTGGCTGCTCTCATCCGTGGCAGAGTGAAGGAAGCTGCCAGGATGGTCCGGGGAGGAGCGCCCATACTGCCTTACTTCTGGTACCGGTATAGAGACAGTGGGTTCTTGAATAAGGTACGATGGATATTGAGTTCTATTATAAAGTAAGGTATTCAGTTTAAATTGGAATACACGGATATCAAAACATCATTTCACTTTCATTAGACTTGAATATTTCAGTTACTGCAACCTAAATGGTCGCAACAATATATGTACATACATTTCGTACAGGTCATCATCAGCCTGATCCTGTCCGTTACTTGAATGGCACTCCACAGAGTTTAATAACATTACCGGCGATTAATGCCACTGTGCAGTGTAATATTCACTTTTCACTATTTATGTTATGAGTCCCATGTAATAAGGGGTGAGTCTATTGCCATATACCGGGCACAATTCCAGACTCCGTGCTATTACTCAGAGTTAAAAACCTATTAATACTTTACCCGACCCGGGAATCGAACCCGAGACCCCTTGCTCGGCAGTCGCACTTGCGACCACTCGGCCAACGAGGCAGTCGACAGAAATTAACTCGTCGAGTACCGTATTTATAGACACAATTAAAGAACAATAGGTTGCGGTCACCGGTGACCGCTTGGTGTTTGACAGTTTAATCTCCAGTCTTTAGTAGGCCTTACCATCCTACCACCCGCCACTTTCATGTAGTATGGCTTGACACCCAGTCCAAATATCTAATTGCTTACTTGTATGATCTACAGTCGTCATAATATTATTAACATAAATTAACATACAAGCTATTCGTACGCGAATAAAACAGTCTATCGCAGATTCAACTCCCACACATAATTGACATTTAAATAGTTCGTTACAAAGCTATGATAACTAGCATAACACAACTATTTGATAAAGAATAATAATAAACTACATAGCAACAATGTTTTTCTGTTACAGACCGACTTGTATGTAGCCTTGAACACGTTTTATAAATCAAACGCATCAGGTTTCATCATATGGGGCAGTTCCAATGACGTGAACACAGTAGACAAATGTAATCAACTTAGAGCATACGTAACTAATATATTAGGACCTGCAATAGCTAAATATACTAAACAAAACATGAGACAAGGAGACGATCCAGAAGTAATACTAGGAGCTAATTCTAATCCAAATAATTCTACTACATTTGATCCAGAATTCAACTGGATCCCACCAGAAAATTATACACAAACTATAGAAGAAATTGTAGATAAAGAACTTAAAGAGGAGAAGGAGTTAGGACATAAGAATGTTACAGAAAGTATTCTAGTTGATATGATATTGAATAATATAGCTGATAGCTGTGGCGATGGCTGTGATAGTGCAAGTAAAGATATACCGACTGATGTAAAAGAAGAAGATACTGATGTAATAGAGATGAAAGAAGGTGGAGATAGTGCAACAAATGAGTCTCAAGTTGTAGTAGTTACTGAGGATCCTTTTAAGAAGAATTCCAGTTTGATTACAGGGACTGGTAAGTTTGTTTAAAATTATAATCATTGTTCTAATAGACCAATATATGTAAAATGTAAATTAATTATTGGCAGTCGTATGCATAACAATGGTAGATATTCAAGTTTTTGATTAAAAAAATCATCCCTAAATGTTGCCGATTGTACTTATTAAGACAACATAATTGATTGATTAATCTTCTAAATTTCAGCCTCAACCACAACAGAAGAGTACACTTACGACTACGATGTTAGTGGTCCAGAAGATATAAATATTGAAGATGTAGTTGAAAATATTGAATATAGTGATATTAGTACAACTAGCAAAGATATAGAAACTATTAGTACAACGGCTAAAAGTATTGAAGTATATATTACAACTAGTGCTAACTCGGAGGCAAGTACTTATAGTGTAAGTAGAGAAGATACGACAGAAAGAAAGGAAGAAACTAGTACACAAAATGCAAGTACTGCTGACACAGAAGACTTCGCTTTGAGAAGTGAACAAAATAATGTCATAGAATTAAATATAGAAGAAAACAGTATAGAAAGTAGTACTGTTTATCCAACTAATGCAAGTACCACAGAATTTAGTATTACTACTTATAGTACAACTAGTCCTAATGAAGAAGAGGCTACAATCGAAAATGAACTTAATGTGACTAAGAATAAGACAGATGATACTGTGAGTGATAGCAGCACAACATTGGCACCAGTGTCGACAGAACAGGTTGTTGTTTCAGTTGTTTAAGGTTTGTTGTTAACTGTTGTCCTAATTTTATGTTTGGAACAAATTATCTACTATGAAATCTAAGATCTATAATGCTAGCGCCAGACATGTGCTCATATTGTATGTCCTGAACGAAATATCATTAAATGCTCATGGCACACAATGTGAACAAACAATTGTGCACATGTCTGGCACCGGCATAAAACAATGACTACTATAGTTTTCTTCTAACTTGTTATCAGTTGACTTGCTTTAACTTTAAAAAGGCGTTTATATCAGTGTTCTTAGGAGGTATATAAGTAATAAGGACGAGTCATTTGTCAAACTATACACGCAAATCCAGACTCTGTGTTATTGCTGAGAGTTTGGTATTAAAGCTAATTTTGTAGTAAATGTTTAGTCTTGTAGTTTAGCTAATACTTTAGACCAATTCTCATGAATTTGATTGCAAGTAGACTATTTGCAGTTCTTAATTTTACTGTTATATTTGTTATAGCTGTAGTTTGTGTTTTGTCTCATTCTTTCAAATTATCATCAAAGCTTGTAGGAAAAAGACAAAACATGTCCATAGCTGAAGTAAGTTTGTATTTCGTAGTAGATAATATTGTTCGTACTAATTCAAACTTTACAATTTTAATTGCATTTGCATCCAAAGCTGTACTTAATTCTTTTAATTTATATAATTCTTTAATATTACCCATATAAAATTTACTCACATAACTGGTTAACGAACTAACTTGATTGGTTTCGAATGCTTAAGTTTATGAGTCCCTACCACGGGTTGAAATAAGTTGAGTTACCTCAACTTTGACGATTTCTTTGACTAGAATAAACAGTTACTTGAGTAAGCGATACAAATATACTTTTTATTTTTTAATATTGTTAACTTTTCACTAATTTATTTATTGACACGCTCTGTAATTCTGATTAACACTTCTATTGCACAATTTAATACTTCGTCTACTAAGGAATGTGATTGTCATAATCTTTATTATTTCTCTAATTTTTAATAATCTCTTTGTTTAATGCATTTTGTGTTTTGTTAAGCTGATATTAAAGATTGAAATGCTTTAGAACTTTTAGACCAAAAGCTCTTATTTGGGACATAGAAGGGTCGCATCAAAATCAAATAGATCTTGTGAGACTCAAGTAGCCCAAAATTGAATCAAATAATGTACAAGAACTGACCGATATTTCTCCTACAATTTCTAATTAAGATTTAACTAGAGTCAATGTTTCCAGTAAGAGATTATTTTTTATATCTCGACGGTGGTAAAAACCACACGGCCCACCTAATAGTAAGTGGTTACCGTGGCCTATGTACGGCTGCAACACATGGAGCATTACATGCGTCTTGTCGACCCTTAATAAACCTATTCACTCCCAATAAATGTGGAAGTGATAGTGAATTTTCTTCCAAATATTCTAAAGCTTTATACTGAAGCGTTTCAATCTTGTTCGCCAGCTTCTATTTTAACATCTTATTCTAATCGCATTTTAATTTTTATTGTTTCAACTATAATTTACGTCCATGTTTGCTTTTTTTTAGTTTTTAAGTTTATTTGTATATTATAAAACTCCTTTTGCTATAACGTTGGTAATATTCAGAATCTTTTATGCTGAAGTACTCAACCGCTACTCAATAATTTTAAGTCTCACTTATGTATAGTTCTGTCTCTACAACTTCTTTGAAAAATGACGGAGACGGCACGATATTTCTTAAAATAGAGTAACTTTTCAGTACTTCGGCGCATCGACATATACTAATGGACATGCCTTAGAGATGAGAATTATGGTACTCGGAAAGAAAGAGAGGAAACGAAGTTTCGGTCTATCTTTATCTCTCTCAAAATAGTACCGTAGTTAAGACGTTATGAGCGAGAAAGAAATAGCGCTAGACCGAAAGCGTAGGCCATCTCTCTCACTCTTTTCAAAATAAAAAATTACTGCAAATTATACGCGTACGGCATGTCCATTAGTATAATATGTCGAAGCTTGAGCGTAAGTCAATTAGTTTTGACATTCAAAATGAAATACATGAGTGTGGTAGCTATACTTTTTTCAAATATTCATTTGCGTCTTTATGTCCTTGACATACAATTCAAAACTGATTTCTGACGATATATTCAAAATGGAGTGTTTCATGTTTCGGTTTCGCTCGACTTCTTCTGATTCGATAAGAGTTATCTTTTCCTTCTCAGCAGATAGAGTTTATGCAGCGTGAAGTGTGTTTTGTCCAATCAATGTAGCTGTCCAAAATTTACTGTCCAATTGATATGAGACAAGCAATTCATTAGTGGACAAAAAACCTTCCGTTTTTTACATAAGCGCCATCTGATGAGGAAAAAAAGAAGTAGCTCTCATTATAGTGACATCTATCGTAAAATAAAGACATTCAATGACTTTTTTACTTATTAGAAAGTTGAGTACGCAGCAGAAACATGGAATTATTTCGATTTATTTGTTTGTACTTATACATTCCTACTTATTTCTTTGTCGGTTTAAATTCAATGAGTTATCTTCTCTGTTGTTCTTTGTGTGATCAAGATACTGTTTCCATGTCCAAGTCTTATGCTATCGTTGTCTTCTTATAAGGGAAAGGTATAAAAAAAGAAAGAGATGAAACAATATCCATTTTATTAATTCAAATTTCATTCAAGATTAGAAGCTAGTTATCATTGTCATGCTTACACTGCTAGACTAGTGTTGGTCTTATTATATCTCCTTGATTTATTGCACTGTCAATTTTGTAAACATTTTTGTCGTAGTTTATTCGTCATCATTATCAATTGTTGCTTTAAAAAAAAAGGCAAGCACTGAAAATACGGTGGCGCGGTAGCTGGGCAACTGGCTGCCACGCAACGTGTCGCGGGTTCGATTCCCGCACGAGGCAACTCTTTTTGTGATTCACAGATTGTTATTCCTTGTATGTTTCTAAACGCACTCATGACACAGGAGAAAATCCTAGTGTGCGGCAAAGTTTTTTTTAAAAGAACCAAAAATTAAAGTAGAATACTAATAATAAGTTTATTAAACACTTTTATCTCTGTCTTTAAACAGTCTATTAAAAGAAACAACGGTAGTTTACTTGAGCCATAATCTCTAATAAAATACACATGAAGATAGCTCATTGTACGGTGGTGTGTCTGTTTGTGTTAATAAATATCTGTCTATAGGTGTTGGGGTCTGTATCCAGAGGTATCGTCGTAAAGCCGATCGTGTGCACTCTATTCTTTATCTACTCTGTAACCAAATGTCTCTGTTTCATATTCGGAACGTGCTAAGGTAGTGGCTAACGAATGCAATTTTAAACCTTGAGTTTTTACGACAAAAGTACATTTTACTTTGATGTTGAGTTTGGATTTAGGATCTATTTTCGATATTTGTTTAAAAGAAATCTGTTTCTATTGTTGTATAGGGATATGTTCTTTATAATGATGGTCAGAAGGTCGATATTACGTTACATATTTTTATAAGAATCTCCTTTATCGAATATTTTTCTACGTCTTTAGGTATAAGATAAAAATTGAAATCAAGCCATCACGTATTAATTAAATATTATTATAGTTATTTTATCGGAATCAATTTCCAACGTGTACTTATTTTATAGATGCCAAAATAACAATCAATATTGAACTCTGTCGCAAAACCAAATGGTTGAAAATTAAACATAAACACGAGTCGGCATTGAACTGAAATAATTGAGATTTATTAGGTAGTATTAATTATTACATAATAACCTATTTATGTATGAATTTGTATACAAAAACTAAATGTCTCACAACGGGTATAAATAAATAAAGAAAAACAAATTGCGACGTGTTTTGGTTTAAATGAAGTCGGTTGAAAATAGATGCCAACGATGTTTTTATAATAACTATCGTGAGACATACTAAATTAACTAAAATCGCGGGCTACTCACGTGAATCACCACCGTTTTCCGCGTACACTGCTCATGAGGAAGAACCCCTCTGTGGTTCGAAACTAGTAGAGCCTATCTCAGTATATTCACGTGTGTAACCTGCGATCTTAGCTAAGATGACAACGAGTTAAAACCTTGGAAGCAAATATAAGTGAAAATGAAGTCGGTAATTATAGAAAAGCTAAATTTATATAGACAGTTTTTCTACTTACCTAATCGTTAGCCACTTCCCTAGCAAGTCTTTCAATAAAACTTCATATTTATTTGTAACTATTATTATCAGAAGTAACCTAAGCTAAGTTTAAATTACGACACAAATTGCTACACAAGTGCTTCACATTATTTTGTGTCCACTACGTATACCTTTCAGTAAACTAACATTTGATAAACGTGTCTTCAAAAATATTCCTTTAAACAAAGCAGCGATGAACATTGTTCTATGAGGCCCGGATTAGTACGAAGGTAATCATAACCCTCAATATCATAAGGGTCAATACACTTACCGAATACTGATACTTACCTTACTTACTTACCAATACGGCTCCGGCTCGGTTTCGGCATGGCTTGGCACAGCGTTTTTGCTTCGCAAACAACACAAAAAGGTTGTAAGCGCGCAGTCGTTGCGCGGGCGGCGCGCGGACGGCTCGCGGGCGACGCGCTTACACCTTTTTTATATTAACGATATGAAATATATCATACCACATTCGATTTAAAGTTCAAATTTAAATGACAAGTTCATTGCTGGGATGGAGCCGTACCGAAGCCGTGCTGGTCAAGTGTGCGATGTCTTTAAAACAAATTTGATTGTCCAGTGTTCTTAAAGTTGATCTTTATAATGATAATGTAGATTACTGTTTCTTTATAAGTGTTGGGTCAACGTTTGGCCACTATCTCGTGGTACTTAGTACCTGGCGGTAAGCCATGATGCGGCTATTTATGATCCAAAGATAAAGCAACTCTTTTAATCTCTTTTTAAAAAAAATGTTGAGCAGCCCTAGGATTCTGGTTCATGTGTCAGTTAACAAACACACATCACACCCAGACCCGAATCAATAATTTGTGGATCACACAAAGTGTTGCTCCGTGCGGGAATCGACCCGCTACACGTTGCACGGCAGCCGGTTGGTTGCCCAGCCACCGTGCAACCGTGCAGTCAGAACTGACTAAAGTCTATCGTGCCGTAATCTAAGCTTAACTTTTTTATTCCAATAATATAATATGTCGTTGGCATTCATATAGTGTATGTATGACCTATTCCTGAACAAAGAGGTGACAATCGGTAAGTTGCTCGATAAGGACTACAACTTAGGATATAATTGTGACTAATCATTTTATCTGTGATATGTTTTTAGTGTAATTTTGTTAGATATTTTTGTGAATATTATTGCCAATTTAATTGTCTTAAAGATAAGAATAAAGATATTATATTTTCAATGTATTTTTTTGTTTTATTTCTGTGACGTCACTCTAGCGGTACTTCATAGGACCATACTATAATACTGTTGTTTAATAATGTTTTATGCATTGTCATGGGAGAAAGTTTTCTAGACTATTTTTTTATGGGGTGAGCGGGGAAACGAGGAGATGGATCACCTGATGGTAAGCAATCGGCATCGCCCATGGACAGCCGGAACATCATAGGCGTTACAAGTGCGTTACCGGCCTTTTAGGGATTAGGACTTTGAGAATTGTTGGAGATTTTGATATTTAGGAGATTGAGTACGGAGGGGGGGGGGGGTTGTAATTGGGCCTCCGGTAACCTCACTGACACGACGAAAGACAACGCAAGCGTTGTTTCACGTCGGTTTTCTGTGGTATCACTGCGGTCGAGCCGGCCCATTCGTGCCGAAGCATGGCTCTCCCACACTTAAAACATCAATCACAATGTGGAACTGTAACTGTAACTATTATAATATTATTATATTTGGTATGTTTTAAATGTACTTATGGAAGTTTAAGTGAAAGACATTCAGAGACTACAAAGTTAATATAATAATAAGTACGGGAAAAGTCTTTAATCCCTTTTCCAATGAAAAAAAAAATACACACCACTTTAATCCACATACTTTATTGAAACACAGAAACAAACAATAGATGTAACGAAACACAGAAAATAATAAATTATTTGTAAATGTAACACTTGTCTAACATAACATAACTTTACGGAACACACATCTTACACATAAACATTGAATTTTACTGAAATAATACGTGAACTACAACCCAGTATCATATATTCTACCTGAACTGTAAATGAAGACCGACAAAAGTAATTTTATCCTTACTTATATTATAAATTGGAAAGTGAATTTGTTTGTTTGTTTGTTCCACTTTAACGCCGTAACTACTCAACCGATTGCTTTGAAATTTTGCAGACGTAAAGTTAGAAGTCCGGATTAAATAATAGGGTACTTTTTATCCCTGAAAAAAATTGATATTCCCGAGGAAAAACAAAAGTATTGGTATAGATGGCGCTGTAGGTATTGGTATATGTCACATTGGCCTTTTATCCTTTTGTGACGCGAGCGAAGCCGCAGGTAAAAGCTACTAGATACATGTTTCCTTTAGGAAGTTCTAGAATAGACGTTTACTCATTAAAACATAATGTTATAAGTTTGTTTCATAGTTAAAATGGATTCAACCATCTATACTTAGTTGTTAATTATTATTTAGAACTTCATTTGCCTAATTGACCGAAGAACCTTCTATAAAGGATGATACTCGAAAATGATCATTATTTTTTGACGTCAACATTAAGTTGTCTTTATATTATAAACGATATCTTTATATGTTATACGAATCTTTAGAATATAACGATATCTTTAGATGTCTTTATATTATATACGATAGTTATTAAACTATCGTGGGAAAATTAACCAAAAATCGCGGGTTACTCACGTGAAAATGTTGAGGAAAGCTCTACTAGTTTCGAGCCACAGAGGGGCTATCAATGTCACGCAGCCTATTGTCAACTAGTAGTGCTTTTCTCAGTAAATGTGTGTTGTGTTCTCAGTGTCATAGTTTTCACCGTTTTTCCTGTCGAAGGACTGCAGGAAGAGATTCCTACGGGAATATGTAGTGCCTATGTACCTCCAATTTATTTATATATGTGTTCTCCTGTGTACTGTCCGTGTGTTGTGCATAAATAGATAAATAAATAAATATATTCACGTAAGTAACCCGCGATTTCGATTTTTAGTTAATTAAGTTGTCTATTTATCATTCACCCTTCATAATTATGAAACAAAACATTAATAATACTAAATCATGCACTGATAATAGCAAAACAATAATTCTTGAACAGCAAAGGCATCTCATCATCAGAAATAAAGTTCCTATCAGGTCTAACGCTAGCAAAGTTATTGTACTTCGGTTCTGTGATGAAGTTGTATCCAGTTTCGGAACATTCCTTGATCCTGATGCAGTCTTTATGGAGCTCCGTGATGGTGTACCCTGTGATGATGAAAGGGATCTTCAGTTTTAAGATGGCGTCTATAGTTGTGGGCCAAGGGTCCTTGCCGTTGTAGATTGATGATCTTTGGACGCTCGGGTTAAAAGCGCATACTGGAAATAAATTTACATGTTACAAATATGGGGGTTAAAGCTATAATTGTATATAGGTTGAAATAGAAAGATATATAGAGTTAAATTCGTTAACTTATCGAATCACTGGTTTCATTTCAATCAATGACTAACTGTGGCCGCGACGTCGTAGACGGCTAGAATATGAGTTTTAGGACAAACTTTTTTTTTGTTTCCATTTTTCAATATTAAAATAGCCTACGTTACTCCTTAATACATCAGCTACCTGCCCAACAAAATATGACCAGCCATTTCAGAGATTAGCCAGTACAGACAAACAGACAAAAATAAGAAAAAGTTATTTTGATATGGGCATCGTATGTAATATTCATACGTAAGTAGTAAAAAGTTATTTCAATATTACAAACAGACACTCGAATTTTATTTATTTGTTTCGATGGAAATTTGAGAATGGACCTTGTAAAAGGTAGAAGATGACATATTTTGCATAAATTCTAAAATACTGCATAACATGTTGGTGGTGACATATCTTCTGTCTGATGTATATACCATGATATGATATATATAGATATCTTTTGTAGTATGATATGTAGAGACTTTTTTAATAGCTGATTTTTGTTTTTTTTTAATATGTATTCGCCTTTTTTCTTTTTTTCTTTATTTAAATAATTTTCTTGCTGTGTGCCTGTTTTTGATGTATTTATAATTTTAATTATGTCTTAGCTGTTACCTATTAAGTCAGTGTTCGTGTGAATCTGTAAGTGGCTCAATGTTACTATTTTTCTGCTAAATGTATGTAATGTAGCTGTTGATTCACCATTCAATAAATAAATATGAGACTCACCAATATCAGGTGGAACGAAGTCCTCGCTGGACTTGTAGTCAGCATAAGTCCTCTTGTCTTGGAAGTTAAACACTACGCGTCGGTTGTTCTGTCTGCAGTTGTCACATAACCTGGGTGGAGAAGAAAATTGAATGCATAGTTGTTAGACAGAAAGTCTAATTTAGTTTGTGGACCTATGGTCAGAACTATATATTTGTAGAAGTAGGGCCAAAATAATCACAAAATGCTTGCTATAAATTAAAAACTTTATTTTATTTTTTTATGGGTTGAGCCGGTAAACGAGCAGACGGATTACCTACCTGCACGGTTGCCCATGGACACTGCCACTTAGAACACCAGAGGCGTTACAAGTGCGTTACCGGCCTTTTGGGGTGATTGTTGGGGATTCAGGGATTGGGGAAAGAGGGAGGTGTAACTGGGCCTCCGGTAACCTCACTTACACGACGAAACACAACGCAAGCGTTGTTTCACGTCGGTCTTCTGTGAGGCCGTGGTATCACTGCGGTCGAGCCGGCCTATTCGTGCCGAAACATGGCTCTCTCACACTTAAACTTACACAATTAGATACGTATTCTAATATGAAATAACAAAACCAACTCACTTGATCTTCCCAAGCAACTCCAGTGGTAGGTTCGAAGGGTTCAAGTTATAATTGACGAGGACGACCCTCAACTCCTGCAGTTCAGGTCTGAGGTGTAGGAAGAACACCTCCCACTTGTTGAGGGCATCAGCCTCGAACTGGAGCTCTGCTCCAACTACGTGGATTGTGAAGGAAGATTTCTACAATAGAAGAAAGTTAATCAATAAATTTAATATATCACTGTGTCTTGTACCTAAATCAAACCAAAAAAGAAGTAATAAAATAATATGGTGTGATACGGTTAAATAACATAATATATAATAATAATAATAATAATCAATTTTATTTCAGACTTAGTCCATATTTGTTAGTAACAATGTTCTTAATCTAGTGTTAGTAAAAATACACACAACAATCAGAGACAATAATAACATACAAATAAATAAATGAGTAATAAGTTAGTAACAATATTCTTAGCCGAGTGTTAGTAAGATACATAGATATACATATATACTTGTAATTAAGTCAGGCACTTGCTCTCACGTGTAGGCCTATCCAGTGCGCCATCAGCACCGAATCCCAGCATATAACATAACGCCTTTTATCCTTGAAGCGGTAGGCAGGCACTTAATAACACCGTACAATATAACACCCACTTTTCACTATCTATGTTATGAGTCCCATTTAATAGGGGGTGAGCCTATTACCAGATACCGGAACCAATTCCAGACTTGCTACTACTGAGTTTTTTTTTAAAACCCAGTAGTACTTTGCCCGACCCGGGAATCGAACCCAAGACCTCTTGCCCGGCCGGTCGCACTTGCGACCGCTCGGCCAACGAGGCAGTATTTTATCATTTAATTTTGATAAAATATGTATTTGCTTTTGAGTAGCACTGCGGGTCAGCGATTACAAACTTATAATTAGAAATTATAAGCCCAGATTTCCTCACGATGTTTTCCTTCACCGTTTGTCATTGGTGTCTAGATAATCTTAAAAAGTACATATAACTCGGAAAAAGTCACATTGGTGCTTGCCGTTGGTAGGTTTCAAGCCCAGACTCTCATGCATGAAAAGCGGGCGTCTTAAACCTCCAGGCCATCACATCACTATAGTTAGCAATGTTACCTTATTGACTCCATTAGTGATTGGGCCAGCTCTGTTCCTGCAGAGCTGGTGGCAGTAGGCAGCTGTGAGCGGTGCTGTAGCCAGCTGCGTCAGTGCTGCGTATTGAATGTCGTTTATATCTGAGAACAAATTGTTTTATTTTTACCGACTTCAAAAAAGGTACTATGCTCGGTTAATTGTTTTTTTTTTATTTGTTTGTCGATTGCTCCGCCATTTGTGAAGCAATTTCAAAAATTCTTGAAAGGGAAGACTCCCAAGATGGTCCCATTTCCATGAGGTCAGGATCTGATGATGGAATCCTAGGTAAACCTAGGGGGAGCTTTCGATAATTGTAGGGGCAAGTAATGCGTCTTTTATGTTTTTCAATTAGGATTTTTAAATACTACAATTTGATAAGGGTCTGGAGTCGACCTGATGATGGAGCCGACAGACAGTCGAGAGAACTCCTCAACGGTTTATATTAACTACCTTGTGTTTGGGCTTTATTCATTTGTATTGATGAGGACTTTACACCTAGATAGAATGGGACTGTCATAAAAGGTCTGATCATGAAGAAATGTAATTTTTAAGGGAACTCTTCAACGGTTTATAGTAACTACCTTGTGTTTGAGATTGTATAATTTGTATTGATTAGAACTTTGCACCTATGTAGATTATTAGTGACAAAACGGATCTATGTAGCTTTACACTGAAAATGATAAAATAATAAAATACAAACTGCGTTTAAAAATACGACTTCAAAAAACCAAAAACTAATAACAAACAAAAAATCAATACTCTTATATAAAACAATCAGTCAGTACTGATAATAGTTATTTTTTGCTTTTTAGTTTCTTCTTCGACTTCTAGCCTATCAGTATAGGTTACCCACCCACTGATAGGTTAGAAGACAGTGCCATAAACTCATATCATAATGATATAACTTAATGGCCACAAAATTGAAAATTAGGTATCTATTAAGGTTTTAATGAATAATTTTGTATTGAACTTATGCCACTGACATTGTACTACAGTGGCATTAACTGGTCTAATATACACCTCTACCTACCCCTTCGGGGATAAATGGCGTGATGTTATGTGTACCTATTTATAATGAAACTATTTCCAAGATATTAATTCATTTGTTGACAAACATCACATAAGAGCTACCTACGTGAATTGGTACAATGACTCAAAGATAATAATATTATACGAGTTACACAAGTACATAGGTAGTAAAATAAATCATCTTTATAGAGTACTTCGTCACAATGCTGCAATGTATGTAGGTAATGTTTCCTCAGCATTAGTCTCACTTACAATTTTAGAACATCTAGCTTCAACCTACGCTGTTATATCTAAACTCCAGCACTGGAACTGTGGGATATTTCATATTTCCACGTAGTCTACAGAATGCACACTGTAAATGATACGTTTCCACATATTTTATGTAAAACAATAGGGTAGAAGCCTAATTACTATTTTAATGTCCGTCTGGTAGATTATTTTAAATCATTAGACACGTATTTTTTATTTTCTTACAGAACCGAATACTTTCGACGATATATTGATTTGAAATGTCGCGAGACGTCACTTCTATGTACTTTTTATACGTAGAAATGACGTTTTAACCCCCACTCCTAAACTTTGATTCGTTATATCTAAGTATTGTTTTATTATAAGACAAAATAAAAACATACGTGTCTAATATATTTTCATTACCTAACATACGGACTAATTATATTTTTAATTTTCATACCCTGTCATCATCCCAATTGTCAGCAAAGACACCGAGAAAATAGCATTTTATCTTTTCTCATTTTATCGAACACTCTTTAACTTCAAAAAAAGGTTCTTTTATTTCAAGATAACTAAACTAATCTGCCTTTTATACGACATACGTTACCAATTTTTTTTATATATCTTAAATGGGACTGCCGTTCGACCACTACCTCGCCTGGTGGTAAGCGATGATGCGGCCTACGATGGAGCACTTCGTCCCATAAGCAACCTATTCACTCGATCCTTGAAGACACCCAGGTTAAACCCTACAGGAAAAACAGACTCTGGCAAAGAATTCCACTCCTTAGCAGTACGCACAAAGAAGCTTGATGGGAAGCGCTTTTTGTGTGTGGGTGCATCTACCATTAATAATAAAATATTTGTACCAGAAAATATTTATCAAGAAATGAAAAACAAAAACGCTAGTGGGTCCGTTTCTTTGCTTCCGAAGGGATCTTGATTTCTAGTTGTCGTCAAACTCTAGAACTTTGTCGTGTAATAGCACTGCTTCCTTCATGGTTTTAACCAGTAACTACTGATATGATACGACTAAGATAACTTATTTAAGGCTAAATCTTTAAAGGTTAAAATACATTTGTTAAACTATGTAAAAATCTTTATGATACATACATAAGCACTACAATAAATACTCATAAAGACATCAAAACACAAAATCTTCAAACAATAGCGTACTCAGTTTAATCTAAATTCTTGTCACAAAGCTTGCAATCACCGACGCTTCAGTTCTCAGTGTATCAAATTATATAGAACCCTACAGTCCCTAATACTATACTGTTCACCGGCACATCAACATACAACAAACATCTTTAATGGATTTTTAACTTTAAAGTTTTTGTAATAAAGAGGAAAATCTCTTGACTTATGGTGTAGTTTGATTTGCAGGTTTTCATACTAAAATCTAGGTCAACGAAAAAGAGGGTTCCACCCTTAGCATTCAGCGCAATGAATAATATTATTGCTTTTTTACTTTTTATCAAAACAACCCCTTCAGCTTTCTCGTTTAGCACAATGATTCGAGTGTCCATTGTTGATTGTAAAGAATCAGATGGTTTTTGCTTTGTGAAACGACAGATGACATTCGCTGGACAGTATCCAAAAAGATTTTATCGAATGGATTGGACTAATGGACATTGATTTTTCTCATAACTGCCGTTCTATTAACGGTGATTAAAGGTTCACGTAGCTATACAAATTAATACCCGCTTTTCACCAGATAACTTCTTAGTCCCATGGAATAGGAAGAAAGGCCTATTGCCATTACATCTGCTACACACTCCGTGCTGCAGTTTGGACTGAAGATTTTTTTAAATACCTACTATGAGTGTTTGCCTGATCCGCATGTCCCCACAAGGCTCGTAGTTTTAACGTAAAATCTTATTCATTTATTATAGTAAAAAACATGTAACCAACTCACCAATCTTCTCCTCATACATAGAAGCCAGTACTTCATTAATCTTCTCTGGTATCTGTTGCGTTTCCTTCAGCACTTTGGTCGGCATCTTTGGCTCCAGTCGGCCCTTGGTTTGCTGGTAGCTCACCAGCTTCTCGTATAGAGAGTATGACTTGCACCAGCGTGAATGAGACTTGGGAAAGTGATCAGGGTTGTCGGTGCAATACGAAATCTGTTGAATATAAGTATTGCTGTAACGTTACCACTACATATTGCCACTGCTGATCGAACTTTCTCATTGAAATATTCAAAAAAAGATATAAGCTGTAATGAGTAAAAGTAGAGATCATAAAGACTTAATTACAATACAAACTAAAATGAGTGTCATAAAAATGGCCTCTATATCCATGTAACAAACAAAGAACCTAATGAAAACCAGTACTAGTTGAGAGGCAAAAACAAGGAAAATAATGACTAAAATATTTTTTAATACTTAAACAAAGTATCTAGCTATCAAGGGTTATTCTCACTTCGTTGAACGTTTAGTTGGCTTTTGCTTAAGATCCAAACGTATATGCTGATAACTGAAAAGGTTTGTCAAAGAACACCACGATCTCCTTACCTGCCCACACCCCTGGCAGTCACTAAGCTTGTTCTGCCTCCACTCTCGGCACGGGACATGAGCGCAGATCCTGGGATACAGCAGCGCCTCCTGCTCCCACGGCACCAGCCGTCGCTTCAGCACCTTCTCACAAGACACTATCATCTGCATCCTTATCAGACGGTAGTCGTGTCCTGTCAGGTTCTTTGCATCTCCGTAAATGTGTTTTTGATCTGGGAATGAAAATTTTTTTGAATATGTCGAACGCTGCTCTTTGCTATCAATATTCATTTATTGCTCGTTAAAATTGCAATTTGTACTTTGTTTTTTATGTTCTCATCAATATTTACAATACTCGTCAGACTCTTTTTCTCCTTTTTGACATTTTTCAATTTATTTATCTTATGCTTATTATTGCTCTAATAGCCTAGGAAAAACTGTAAGCTATTCCAAATCCATTATTTATTTAAACAAATCATTTATTAAAACTAGATTTAAATCTACATCAAATAGTTTATTACTAAACAATAAATGAGTTCAGCCTTTGAAGTATTCTAGGACGTTACTCGATGCCATTTACGATTCTTTGAAATGTATTTTAAATACGATTTAGTTTAACGATGGTGACTCACCAAAGAGTGGGACATTATTTACCAGGTGAGTATTACTTTAGGCTTACTTTTCTAATCTAGTAAGTAGAAAATGAAAGGAAATGGTTGTTATTTTGACGATTGATGTAGGAGAATGGAAGAAGAAGACATATTACCAAAACTAACGCGAGGCAAAAGAATAGGTTGACAGTCAATTAAGAGAAGATTTTATGTTTATCAACAAATATGTGCCTACTTCGAATGATATGAGTGCCACTGTGGGAACCTATGCTGGTCTATTGACTCCATGGTTTTATAGAGATAGATTACTCACCTTTCAAGTGAACAATAGTGGAGACAGCAAAACACAGAGCCTGGTGTTGTGGCCAGTCTTCATCTTTATGCTTGTTGCTACAATAGAACAGTAAGTTACAATAACTGCAAGGCACTCTCGATCCACACAAGCTCTTCTTACAAACATGACAAGCACTTTGCAGGAACACTTTCCTAAAACTGTACTTATAAACGAAATCATCATTGTCATTCATTTTATAATCCTTAATGAAATCCTTCATTTTATTATTCGTCTGCGTATTCTTAGAAGATTTCTTTTCAATCTCGACCGAATCTTTTATCTTAACACGAGCCGTTACTTCATTCGGTATTTTATCTTTTTCCTTTTTGAAGTCCCTTTTATTCGATCGTACAGGAATATCGGGATGGCCTAGCAAGTTTTTTGGCGGCGAGACGGGTGTTTTTTCTTCATCTGGTGCTATGATGTTTATTTTAGGGTTGTTTTGTTCTTGCGATTCTTTGACTATCATTTCGAATGTTTTGTTGACGTCATCAATACTTGAAGTGAGTGCATCTTCAAAATTTTCTATTGGTTCGAAGTCCGCCTCTGGGAGTGCGCCGTCTTGGCTACCAGTATCGACATCACTTGCTTGCTGTTTACCTTTCCCTTTACTTTGACCTCCTTTTGATTCTGATTTGCTGTCAGTTTTAGATTCTTGTTTTTCTTCTTTTTTTGTCTCTTGTGTAGTTTGTTGTGTTTGAGTAGGAGCTGGTGTACTTTGAGCAGTAGTAGTAGAAGTAACTTGAGAGTCCTGTTTACCTTTCTTCTTTTTATTTTTGTTTTTATTGTCTTTTCTTGCTGGACATATTGGTGGTACGTCGAGTGGAGTTTCTTGTTCTTTGGGCTTTTCAGTATCTTTCTGTTCACTTTCTATTGGTTCAGTCTTTATGTCAGTTTTAGGTAGTGGCATTGCAGGTAATACACTTTCTTCTACCTTTTGTAGTTCAGTCGGAGGTTTAATACTTTCTTGAAATTGTTCAGCCTTAATCTCCATCGGTTTATCTGTAGTTATTGGTGGACTCTGGATTGTTGTACTCTCGATTGTAGATGAAGTATCTAAAGCTGTTCCTTCAACAAAAGGTAAAGGTATGACTTCTTTTTGTAGTTTTTCAACTGGGGTGCCTTTTCCTTTGCCTTTTTGCTTTTTTACTGGTACAATTTGAAGTTGTTTTGCCGATATCTTGGTTTCGTCTATTACCAATGGCATCTTAATTTCTTCAACAGGTTTAGGCTCAGTAGCTCCTGTCGTTTTGATCTCTGCTTCTTTTACAATACTCGGTGTTGGTATCATTTGTTCAATTACTGCATTACCACCTATATCAAATAGAATATCGGATACATTCTTAGCTTTGTTTCGAGTCGCTTCAAACTCTTTTTCAATATTCTCTTCACTTTTTTCAATTGATGTTAGTTCTGCTAAGGATCTTTCAATCGACAATCGTAATTCCTCCATATCTTGGTTGACTTCCATCATTTTAGATTTTAAATCTGTCTTTTCTTCCTTTGGAGGACTTTTCTTTTCTTCAGATTTAGGTAAAGCTTGTGCGATGTCTTGTAGTATAGGAACAGGTTCTATAGGAGAAAATACTTCTCTGATAAAGGTATTATTGTTGTCATCAGGCATTTGTTGACTGGCTGCACGTGGGTAACTGATGTCAGGTATGACGTCACAAGATGAACCTTCAGACTCGTCAGCTTTGATACTACTTATTTCAATATCATACATTTTGGTTATGTTAGAAGCCTCTATCTTTTCGGGAAATGGTTGTTGAGTACTTTCCTCAACCGTAGGTATTTCTTTAGCTATCTCTGGCTTTGGTGTTAATGGTCGTTCCTCGATTTTGATTGGTTCTTCAAGTTTTTTAGGAGGTTTAGGAGACTTCTTTCGTTTCTTACTAGATTTATGTTTATCATCAGGTTGTAATGTAGTAGTCTCTTCTGGTTTTGTAAATTCTTTCTCTTCACCTACATTTTCAGGCGTCAGTAGCTCTTTTCCTTGAAATTCGTGGGATTGTGGAATTCCTAGAGTGTCGTCTTTAACAGCATCTATTGGCATCGGCACATTAGACTTTTGACTCATAATAATAAACTCTTGTTGATCAGTCTGTGGAGTTAATACTTCAGTTATGACTGCCAATTGTTCTTTGGCAACATCTTTGATATCAGTGTCTAATTGTTGTTCTCGGGTTCCAGTCTCGATTTCCAGATTTTTAGGAGATTTTGGTCCTTTTTTTCGCTTTTTGCCCATGGCTTTTTCGGCAAGCAATTCAAATTCTTGAGCTATTAGTTTTTCGTCCTCATCGGGCATCATGAACGTGATGTCGCTAGGAATGTTTTGTTGTGTAGGTTGCATTATAATTTCACTCATCTTTTCTGGTTCCAAAGGTATCGGTTCAGGTGTAGCTGCCTTAGTCTGTTCTGGCTCAGCTATCAACGATTCAAGTATATCCTGAGATGAACTCTCAGAAACTTGAGTGTCCTGTTTACCTTTACGCTTCTTTTCTACAGGTTTTGCAATTTTAGCTTTGGGTTTTGGACTTAAATCTCCGAGCATTGGTTCAAGTGATTCTGTAACTAATGTATCTTTAATGTTTTCTTGTTTAGTTATATTTGTTTCTTCTTTTATTGGCTCTGGAGTTAAACTTCCTACTGGTGCGACTTCTGGTTGAGAAATTTCTTCAACCTTGGCTTCCTCTTCTTTTGATAAATCTGCCTTTTCTTCTTTTTCTTCAAGTTTCGGAGTGTGCTTTTTGTCTTTTTTATTTTTCTTTTTGCCTTTACTTTCAGCTACAGGTTTTTCTTTGATTTCTTCAATTTCTTTAACAGGAGTTGGTGCTTTATCCATCATAGGTGGTATTGGTATCGTTTCTTCAGTCTTTTCTAATTTCGTTTCAGTACTTTCAATAGTCATCTTAATGCTTTCTAATGGAATAACTGGCTCACTAACTTGCTCTTCCATTTGAGCTTCTGGCTCTTCTTTTTCATCCAAAATTTTCTGGAAAGCGGCAGTGCAAGAGAATTCTTCTTTATCAGACTTTTCCGAATCATTCCTCTTCTTTTTCTTATTTTTCTTTTTAGCAGGCTTTATTTCTTGTTCTGGAATTTCTGGTTTTAACAACTCTTCTTTCACATCTGGTATGACCTCTTTTATTTCAGGTTCTTTCTTTTGCTCTTGTAGTGGAATATTTGGAACGTCCACATCAGGAATCTCAATATCATCAGCCTTTTGATCCGCATTCTTCTTTTTATTTTTCTTTTTACGAGCTGTCGGTGTTATTAGTGGTAATTCTTCTGATTTAGTTTCTAATTCTGGTATTTCAAATTCTTTTTTCTCTTCCCCAGGCGGTTGGATGTTAGCTTCCTTCGGTTTTTCTTCTATATTATCGTCAAAATCATCATCTTTACCTTTTTTCTTTTTTCCTCTATTGCGTTTAGGCTTCTTGGGAGATTCTTCATCTTTGAACTCGGCAGCCGGTGCTATAATTTCACTCAAAATTTCAGGCACACGTTCTTCTTTCACACTTTCAACTTTTTCTTCTATCTTCGGCACTATATCTTCAACCACACCTCCTTCTTCTGGTTTTACAATGGCAGTCACCTCCACATTTTCAGATTTTTCAACACTTTTATCTGCATCTTCAGTTTTATCACTTTTTTCTTCCCGCACAGGTACAGGATTGGGTACCTTTCCTTTTTTATTTTTTCCCTTTTTATTCATTTTCACAACACGGATATATTCACGACTAACGTTTACAGGGAAATCGGAGTGACTGAGCTTCTAAATACAGATTTGTCTGACCGATATGTTGGGCCGCATTTCTAGTCTGAAATGTCCACGTGAAATTACTAAATGTCACTTGGAACTGTGTAAGGGAATGACGACTCTATATTGTGTAGTATAGGATCTATTTTTAGTTGTGCTGGTGCATAATTTGTGCATGTCTCTAGTCATAAGGAAGAGGACGGTGCCAAAAGAGCATATATCTGTTACACACTTTGTTCTAAGAATATAACGGATTCGAATCCATTTCCAATACTTCAATCGGTTGACAATTTGACATATTAATATTTGTTATTGAACAAAGTATATTTGACATCGTTCGTTAATTAATTACGTCGTATTAATCTTATGTAACTTATTTAATTATTCTTTGTATAACTATATGCGTATAACATAAACGTACTAAGTTCCAATCAACTTGCCATAATGTAATATTTGATAAACAAACAAAATAAATAATTTAAAAAAATCTCAGTAGTAGCACGGAGTCTGTATTGTGCCCGGTATATGGAAATAGGTACACCCCCTATTACATGGGACTCATAACATAAATAGTGAAAAGTGGGTGTTACATTATACAGTGGCATAATGTACACCTCTGCCTACCCCTTCGGGGATAAGAGCCGTGATGTTATGTTATAATTAATAGCTTTAAGCTACTAAGCGAATGCACAGTTACTATAGTGGCTGGCTGAACAGCTGCTGCGCAAAGTGTCGAATATTCGTTTTTCGCTTGGAATAATTGTGAGTGGTCCATAAATCATTGCTTTGAGTTTGTGTGTGATGAGTTTGTTAAACGGACTTAGAACAAAACGAGATCAAAATAAAGAGGTGCCACGTCTTAATAGCATTAAAATAAAAACGCAATTCATTGTTTCCTGATCTCAAAAGGAAAACCACTGAAATAATATGTATACATACTGCTTATAAGTATGTTATTTTGTCCATCACAACAAGCAGAACACAGTATGGCTATGGTTTTTATGGTTTTTAAAAAACCTTGCCCCAAACTAGGATTGTCTCCTGTATCGTGGGTGCGTTTACAAACACACAAGGTCACATACACATGACACCCAGACCCGGAACAACGATCTGTTGATCATACAAAGAGTTGTTCCGTGCAGGACTCGAACCCGTGACACGTGGCGCGGCAGTCAGTTGCCCAGCCACCGCGCCAACCGTGAAGTCAAGTATAAGGTCCCTAATACCATTTTAAGTAATAAAACCTGACAACAATTGTACTTATTCAACAATATCTGTCAAAAGAATTAAGTCAAAAACGTTTAATATTATTATCTCGTCACAATCTACTTACATTTTTCGTTGACCTAAATAAATCTTTTATGGGTCCCTGGTCACTTGAACAACTGTCATATGTCCAAGGGACCGTAAATATCAAAAATATTTTATTAAAAAAAGTATAAAACATCAAGCGAAAACATACCTTATTTCTTTCACTTTAAAGCAAAACACGGCATCAAAAAATTGCCTATAAAATACAAAGTTTTAAATTGTAACTGCGATTGTAAAAGCCAATCTAAATAGACCTCTATTCTGAATGCAATAAAAACCAGGGATCACTTTTTCAATGGACGATATAAAGTGGTTCGTCTACCCCTTATTTTGAATGCTGATTCAAGGCAGTGCACCCTAAGTAAAAAGGCCGGGAGTTGCTCTTTTTTTATTGTTTGTGAGCCATGGCGGTAGCTCGTTCATTTGTCAACATTACATTAGAATGATAATAGAATCACTCATTTTATATGATAAGTATACTAAGTAGACTTATTTATTATTTATACAGTGAATGTTATTAGATAGAATATCATAATATACCTACTTTAGTTATTTAACACATTTTTAAGGCTAGTTGGATGGAAAAGCCGTTGTACTTTTGAGTAAAAGGTTCGTGCAAGCTAATAAATGAGTAACAACGGCTCTTTGTGGATGATCTTCCAATGACTCTTCCCGACCTGAGTGTGACGAAAGGGAGTTTCAGACTGCTACTAACCAAAAACCATCCTGTTCCTACTAGGGTAACAATGGAGTGACAATATCCACAATACCAAGTGTGGGAGAGCCATGCTTCGCAAGTGTGGGAGAGCCATGCTTCGGCACGAATGGGCCAGCTTGACCGGAGTGATACCACGGCCTCACAGAAAACCGACGTGAAGCAACGCTTGCGTTGTGTTTCGTCGTGTGAGTGAGGTTACCGTAGGCCCAATTACCCTCCCCTTCCCCAATCTCCCCAATTTCTGAATCCCCAACGATCCTCAAACTCCTAATCCCCAAAAGGCCGGTAACGCACTTGTAACGCCTCTGGTGCTCCAGGTGTCCATGGGCGACGCCGATTGCTTACCATCAGGTACCGTCTGCTCGTCAACTGGCTTATGCCATAAATAAAAAATCAACCACAATAGTGATGTAGCATTGATACAAAGAGCTGAAAATCGATACAAGGATAATAATATGTTATAAGAAAGGCCTATGTCCAATAATGAATGACCAATAGTACAACGGTACTCCCAGAATACGAACCATCTATCATTCATTTTAGCATACTATACAAGCTGTAAGTGACTACGATCTGGCGACCTTTCAATAGTACGATTTAAAACAAATGAAAACTATTATTATCTTTTTTGTACAGCATAAGCCAGTAAACGAGCAGACGGATCACCTGATGGTAAGCAATCGGCGTCGCCCATGGACACTCTAAACACCAAGGCATTACAAGTGCGTTACTGGCCTTTTGAAAATTTGGAATTTGATGATTGTGAACGATTCGGGGATTCAGGAGACGGGGACTAGGGAGGGGGGTATTTGGGCCTCCGGTAACCTCGCGTCAGTTTTCTGTGAGACCGTGGTATCACTCGAGTCGAGCCGGCCCATTCGTGCCGAACATGGCTCTCCCACACTTATTCGTCTTATCGTTGTACTATATTAATACAGACAGTATACAATTGCCAATATTATTATGTCAATAGGCAGTTACTACGGACGTCAACCAACACGCGAAAGTATTTTATTTATCAACTAGAGGTGTGCCCTTAAGACAGCTGATAGCTGGCACCATAACAAATTAGAAAACTATTCGCAATGCTATTTCTTGCCAAATACGGTTGCTGTGTGAACATTGTAAGTTTTAAACGTAGTTGCTACGTGTGTGATTTTACGTCTTTGTATTCTCATTGCATTGACTGCCACGTTGGCCGAGTGGTCGCAAGTGCGACTACCGGGCAAAGTATTACTGGGTTTTTAAATAATTCTTATTAGTAAGCCGGGGTTTGGAATCCCCGGTACATGACAAGAGGCATCATACAGACTCATAACATAAATAGTGAAAATTGGGTGTTACATTGTATAGTGATATGCACCTCTGTGTACCCCTTCGGGGATAAAACAAATCTGTTCCGAGCCTAGTTGTGATGTACACTTCCCAGACCGATTATACATATTTATGTCAAAGTCAAAGTTGCGATAATTTTTTATTAGAATTACCCCAATGATCAACTTTAAAATGCCTTGTTTAAAAAGCTTTTACAATAAATGCAGAATAAGCGATACACATATTTAACACAATCAAGATAAAACACCTAGCAGTTATAAGCTAACCCCAAAAAATTCAACCCAGACATATCATACTGTATCTAAACAAAAAAAAAATACAACAAAAAATAAGACACAGAAAAGACAATACGACATAAAATAAAGACATAAACAATAAAAACGCGTGACAAAATGCCGCGGCGACAAACGCAAATAATTCATCATGAGACGCTCGACATGAATTATTCAAATGTCGCACAGCTCGAGATGAAAGTGTAGGCACGATGCATATGAAATGTGGCTTATCTTATATTCAGCGTACTGCTTACCTACTTATTGGCTTAGATATTGCGCCTGTTATTTTCATAATATAAAGGTAAAATATTTAACTAAGGCTTCGTTTTTTTCTACTATGTGATGAGGCTAGCTTTTTTTATAGCATAAGCCGGTAAACGAGCAGACGGATCACCTGATGGTAAGCAATCAGCGCCGCCCATGTACACTCGAAAAACCAAGGCGTTACAAGTGCGTTACCGGCCTTTTGGGAATTGGGAATTTGAGGATTGTGGAGGATTCGGGGATTCGGGAGACGGGGACTAGGGAGGGGGGTAATTGGGCTTCCGGTAACCCCACTCACATGACTAAACACAACGCAAGCGTTGCTTCACGTCGGTTTTCTGTGAGGCCGTGGTATCACTCCGGTCGAGCCGGCCTATTCGTGCCGAAGCATGGCTCTCCCACACACAGCTTTTTCTAAAGGTATTATTGAAATGATGAAATGAAATGAAAAGATATTTATTTCTGCAAATAGGTAATAAACTAACACTTTTATACGTCAATCTTTAAATTACTAGATGAGGGCTGTTCTTATTTGACTACTCTAAGAAGAAACGCCAAAACAAAATCAGACTCAGATTTTAATGTAATTATACTAACTACCTCATTGTAAGGATTTTAATACCCAAAAGCGTGCTATGTTCGATTTCGAATGGAATATCAAGCAAGAGGTCTCTCTCAGCCTCGATTTTCAAATCGGGCAAGTTTTGCCAGACCCCGTGGCAGAGTTTAGGAATGCTTTCTCTCAGAACATAATTAAATAATTTGTGTGCACCTCTGCCTAACTCGTTGTAGACTAAACTGTGATGTTAAGCTACTAATTTTAATCCAAAAAACAAATCCATGGTCAGTAACTTTGACCACAGAAAACAAAATAGGAGACACAAAATCTGAATAATATGGTAATACAAGTATTGTTTCCGAAACTATACCAGAATACATTACGACACAACAAACGAATTCATTTCGCAATCCCGGCTCCTGGCCTACATCCGAACAACACGTGCGACAGAGACAACAGAGGACTTAGTACGAATTTGTTTCACGAACCGTTA